ATAGATAGATAGATAGATAGATAGATAGATAGATAGATAGATAGATAGATAGATAGATAGATAGATAAATAAATAAATAAATAAATAGGCTTTTCTTCCTTGTATAATCATGCTAATAATATCTAAATCAAAATAATCTCTTTTTATCATTTGTAGTAAACGGAGAAAGCACCATTAAGACTACAGCAATTTTGTTCTGAGAATTCTTGGCTAAGCTTTCTAAGCCTGCAGCTTAACCGAAGCTAGTTTAGAGCAGTTTAATTAGAACCAAGAAAAAAGATATACATAATATGATTAAAATATATAATGTACCTTTTAAAGTTCAGTGTATATTCAGATTGATGCTAAAAGCTGTAAACAACCAAGTCAGCCTTTTATGCATGAGATTTCCCTCTTCCCTTGGAGTATGGCATTGCTTCGGGAATTTACTTTGATGTTGAGAATTATGTCTTGGTTTTGCATATATAAATTGGTTCTGATGTTACACACATCAGAGAAAAGGATAACATCCCAAACACAAAGAACTGCATTTTCAAACTTAATACTTGGTATAAGTATCTTGTTCTCCAAACCTGATTGCAACTTAACTCATTATTTATTGTCATCATTTGATTTTTGACTAACAAAAAAATTATGAAGAATTTTAATTACTGAAATTTTAATTACAATAGTAAAAACTAACACAAACTATTCTTAAAGAAAGAGAAAAGAATGAAAAAAGAAAAGAAGAAAAATAATAATATAATAAAAATAAATAAATATTGACTTCCAACCTTCATCACAAGAAGTATAAACAATAACTCCCGCCTCCATAAAGTTACATATAGATATCTTTTCCCATCACTAATCTATAAACAAATCCATAAAACATCAACTTTTCAATCCTGGGGTAACCAGAGAGTCCATAAAGAACTGCCAGAACTTTTTAAAAAGTCTTATTTTAACTTTCATCAAATAGAGCAAATTTACATTGCTTTTAACAGTCTTGATCTTTAATTTGATCAATCCTTGATCACAGAATTTTATTTCTCTTCAATTCTTCTTTATCCCAAGGCACAGGTTTCTTCAACGTTCTCACAAGCCTCTTTTTTAGTTGCAATAGGAAAATATTTTCCAGATTATTCTCTTAGTTTATATCTCTTTAATTTTATAAAATTACAGCCAATTCCTTTTGTAAAGTGCCCTTTTTCAAACCATTTTTTTTTGGACTTTGTAGTTCCATTTTAGTACTTTTTCTCTGTCTTATCAAGTAACATTTGTTCCACATCTTCATTAACATCTTTTAGACATAGTTGATCCATTGAAGCAGACATCATTATTGACAGTGTTTGATTTATCTATGATTTATTTTAGTAACTATAATATGTTGTTGTTGTTGTTACTAAGATCTGATTCAATTCTTCAAAAATCTACTTTAACATTTCTGGTATTATAATATTTCATGCCATTTTGTAAGTATTACTGTCAATATTAACTGACATTAAAAACAGTCTTTAAAAATGACTTAGAATCTTTGGTACTCTATAGTATCCTGTTTCTCAAGCCATCACTTATCTTTATGACTTATGATAGCCAGGGTAGATAAATTTCTATTTCTAGCAGGACTACCAGATTCTGTTAAAGCTTTGTTTCCTATGCCTTCTGTCTGGTAAATTGCAAGATTCGTTTTTCTCACATCCAAACATACATCTGAACTAGATTGTGTGTTGTTTCTCTGTGATATAATATATGTGGGTATATGCATACATTTGTATTTATTTATTTATTTAGTCATGTTTATGTAGTGTATATTAGAGGTTGTCACCCTTTGAGAGCTGTATGCAATGAAATTTCATTTTAATGTATGCCAATTAGTATATATTCAAAGTGACAATAAAGTTATTCTAAATTTAAGTCTAATTTAAATCTATTTCCCAAAAGAAGCTGTTTATTTTGTTCATAATTAATTCTAAAATCTTATAGTAAATCAATATTCCAAATTTATTTGGACCATTAATCCATTTATAATTTTCTTAGATGAAAAGTCTATTTAGCTTTTGCTGTTTATTTCAACTTTTTAAAGTTCTTCAACTTATAATTAATTTTTGTTTTGTTCAGAGTTGAAGATAAACTTACTCAATGAAGACTTTTCAAACTTGTCATTCCAAAGATCTCTACTAACTTTAAGATGCTTAATAGGCAGTTTCCAAAAGTGATTAGAAAGTGAGATTTACAAAGTTATTGTCCTTGAAAAGGCTCAGCCAGTTTTGCAAACAAGATGGCTAGTCTGTTCATTGTTCAGTGTGGAAACCTATTACTAGTATTAGTACTTACTAATGTTCTTATATTTTAGCTATGACACTGTAGAAAATACTCGATCGAGGGAAATCCATTGCGTCTTTGACTTATTGAGGCATGTCAGCCTGAAGTCCCTTGTTGAAGTAAATGCTTTCTTGCATAGGCCTAATAAAAGGTGTTTTCTTGAACTCATAATCAAGATATTGATTATTTCCCCCCCCCTTATGATATTCCATAGCTAATGTTAAAAGGTTTCTTAAGATTATTTGGTAGTTTTACACCTAATAACTCAAAAGGTCTCTATATAAATATGCTAGATAATGTTCTTTGGCATGGAATCTGAGGTAGCTCAGAGGTTCATGGCCGCCATGGCAACCTTCAAACTTGTCAAGTGATGTAAGGCCCAACTCACATGGGGAATTCACATATTGGATCACATAACATAGTGGTGTCATGATTTAGTCTTGGAGGATATTAACTTCAGCCCCTTGACATGAACAGATCACTACCCTTGGCCCTGGAGTTCTCCTCAGGCACCCTTACTGCAGAGGGGGTGGGGCTATTTGCTCAGCCTACTCTAGGCAACTAATGGACCCAAAGCAATTTCAGAGGAGGTTTGCGGGATGGTTTTCCTCAAAGATTAGCACAGGCTTCAGCGGAGGACCATGTCATGACTTGAATAAACATGTGTCAGGGCTGGATCACATTGTGTGGGACTACTCCACAGTTTCCCAATTATTTTTTCTTATAAAAATAGTTTTGAAGTTTTATACTTGCATACTTGTTTTTAATCTTTGGTTCTTATATTTTTTTAAATGTTGACTGAATTTACAGTAAATAAAAACTGTATTGTCTTCTTTACCATCCCCAAAATAATTTTGTTTTCTATCAAACAGAGGCATTCCTTAATTTATCAAAAAATAGGGGAAGTATCTGCTTTACTGAAGATGAGGTGAGTAGAACTCCTCCCACCACCACCCGCCCCTTGTGTCTTTTTTTAATCTTTGGGAATAAATGGCTTTTCTCCTCAAATGAAACTATTTTCTAAAGAGCAAAAATTGGAAAAGCTTAACAGAATTTAATGTTCACAGTAAAGTGTGTGCGTGCATTTGTGTGTGCATGTATATGATATAGGATATTGGTATTTTGTTAATTGGGAAAATGAAATATTCATATGTATAAGAGTATAATCTTATAACAGACATTTTACCGGTTGAGAAGAGCAGTAGGAAATGGTATCTTTTTGTGCTGACGGGAAAAGTTCTGTTGTTAAAATGTCTTTGTTTCTTGTTACTTCCATGGAAAGCTGATAACATTAGGCATAGGAAGTAGGGTATCCCAGATGCAGTCAGGGACATACCATCTTCTAAACTTTTAACTGACTTTGAAACAACTGCTGAGAACACTCAAAACTGGTGAAGCAGTTAATCCACCCGTCTCCTGCCATGTTTGTAATAAACCAGCAGAGTTTAAAAGAAAAAATCCTCTATTGCTGGACTTTATGTGGGAGTCAGAAACTTTTCCCCTTCTTCAGTTCTTATTACTTTAATATTAAGGCTTATTTGATCAATAAAGTAGTTCTGGATGTGAACTAGATATCCAAACTTCCACTAGATATGATAACATCAATTGACAGGATTCTTTCCATTTATTTATTTATAACATTTATGAAATACATGCTGCTTGATTCCCAATAACTCTAGGGAGTTGGCTGTTAGACTCCTGAATGCAATGTAACATCATAAGTATGTAGTATGATAGACTTGCAGGGCCAGTGCAACATGTTCATATTGGTGCAATATATTATAATGTAATGTTACACACATATATGTGTAGACGATTGTGTGTTGTTAGTATGATTTATTGGGTTAGGGATTTTCTTCATTTCACTGTGATATGTATTTATGTTGGGGGGGAGGTGCACCAACAGAGGCTCAGCCAATCTCATTGTACACATGTTGTGCACTGACAATAAAGGTTGAATTGATAAGCTTTTGCTGAATATTCTGGAAATTGAAGTCCACCAAACAGACATCCTAAGTTGTGGAAGTTTCCTTTATATAATTAATATTTAGAGCTTAGACTGGAATATCCCAAATTATTTCAACAGGCAAAAATATTCCTAGATATACACACTGATGCTGTACCAATAATATTAATTATGTGGTGCTACTAACAGAACCAAATAATTCATTAAGGTGAGAGAATTAAAACCAAAAAATGTCCAGATTCAGCCAATTCAACACATGGGATAAATGACCTATTCATCTGTCAACATTTTGCATGCTAGTCAAGGTGTTCTAAAAAGACATTTCAGCACATGGTTTGCTTTTCACTCTCTGTTTTTTTAATCATTTTTAAATGTTGATTCAGCAATATTTTCCCTCAGTGTTTTCAGGGAATTCAGTAATAGGAAGATGTAGAAAGTCACAGATTCTGACATTTAAGGTTGGTGGCTCAGACAGCACTTTTGCCTTCCAATTAAAAGAAGCGGTATACCTTTAATAGAGCAATTCAGCCTTCAGTACAAATAAATGTTCCAAATCCCTCTGATAATCTAGTATGATTGTTTTACATGTAATTGTTTCTATTACATATTTGAAAAATGTGCCTCAAGCAGTTGGGATTGCAGTCATATGTAACAGAAGTTACATATGCAGTAAGTGAAGAAAGGAGAAGAAAGTCTTTCCCCAAAAGAAGATACCCTTTAGGGAAACATAAAAGCACTAACACAGGAAAAAAATGTGAAAGTTTTCATAATCTAAAGGAAGTAATTTCTACCAACATTCATGAAATAAATCTCAGCTCCAAATTGAAAATAGGATTGCATGTTCTTGCTATTTTATTGCCTACATATACTTTAAAAAAATGGAAATGTTAATTAGTGTTTTCTTTTTTTTTTCTTATCCTTCTTTTGCCTTAGTGGATGACCATGATCATGTATTGCTAATCTAATTATACCACTTTCGAATACAGGTAAGACTTGGGCCAGATATTCCTAGAACTTACCTGTTTCTTGCTTGTACGGAAAATTTTAATTCTTTGTTTAAAAAAATAGCAAGGCAAGGCTGATACATGTAGGACAAAACTGGACTTTTATACTTATATACTATATACTTTTGATCATTGATGTATTTAATAAAATATTGCAAGTAAAAAGAGCTTGGGTTTAATTCTCATTTTCTGTTTTAGGCTGCTCATTTCTCTGTGTTTCAAAAGAAAGTTATGGATTGTGAAGGCCTGTTTAATTAGAGATGGAATAGAACCAGTCAAAGGCATCAAGCAATCTAGACATAATCAGAAGAATGAAAAAGATGCAAAGAATGGTATTCAAAGAAGATAATAGCAGAAATGTGCAGGGAAAAAAATGTTTACTACCATATGAATGCCTTGGGATGACTTTTTAAAAATAATCCACACCAAGAGGTCCATAAAGGGGGCAAGCATAAGTGCACCAGCATGTCTACTGTCCCTGTCCTACTGTCCCCATTGATTTGTATCCATTTTCCCTGTTCATGTTTATACTTGTACCTGTTACCTTGTACATATTTGACAAACTAAATAAAATAAATAAAAAAGACTTTCAAGGTCCTTTCCAACTCTGTTATTTTGTTACATGGAATAATCTTCCAAGTTGCAGCCACTCAGGTTTGTTGAACTAAGCTCCCATCAACCACAGTGCAACCAATAAATTTGCATTCCTAATCTTATATTGGTTTGATTGTGTTTTAGCACTTTGTTTCCTGAGACTTAATTACTTATCAAAACTGCATCATCTTAGGTCAGTGATGGCTAATCTTTTTCTAAAGATGTGCCAAAACAGTGTGTGTGCGCTATCACATGTACACGCCCACCCACCTGCACATGCGCGAGCGACACCCCTTCTTCTTCCTAGCGTATTCCCACAGGTGCAGGGTCCACTTTTCCTATCATTGAATGCCACTTTGCACAGTCAGCTGCATCTCCAGGGTGCAGGCCCATGGCTTGCATATCTTTGTTGATGGTATCTTGCCATCTCTGCTTTGGATGCCCACAAGGTCACTGGCCACTGACTTCTAGTTGGTAGGCAGTCTTGGCAACAGTGGAAGGTGCCACTCTCTGGACATGTCCATACCAGCAGAGCCAGCCTTCTCTAATCTTCTCTATAATTGGTGCCACACCAAAATGCTTTCAAATGGTGTCATTTGTGATGTCAAGAAGGGAGATGCCCGATAACCAAGCAAGTGATCTCTTCTTCTCATATTCCATCTCTTATCTATAAACAATCTATAAAGTATCATCATTTAAGTCCTGTATCAGCAAAGATCCATTATGGACTAGCCAAGATACAATATGTATATTTTAACCTTGATCAAATAAACCAATCTTATATTTCTTCCTTTTACTTCCAACAATCTTAATCTTTAGTTTATTCAAATACTGCAGTGGAACTTTATTCCTTTTCCTTTTTTTTAGTTGTTTCCCTTGCATGATAGTCTTCAAAATTTCAAAAAATCTCTTATGTAAATTGAACAGGGAGGGGGAGAAATCATCCAGGTGTTTCTGTTGGTCTATTGTTTGTACATGCTTTTTAATTATTAAGATATCAATTAGTTTCTTTTGTAGTTCCAGTGTAACAGCTTTTTCTATGTCATTGTTATAGTCAATAATTTATTAAGTACACTTTCAGCTTAGTCTTTATCTTTTAAGGTAGAAATTGTTCCTCTTCCATTTTTGGACATAGTCTCTCCATATAGGAGATGTCTCTATCAGCACTAGTAAAATAAACGGTCCTTCAATGAATCCATTGTTAAAATATTTTGCTTTATTTTGCATTTGTAAGTCAAGTTTGTAACCTTTAATTTCCTTTAGCTCCCCCAAGTGTCCATTTCTTAAAATTTTATTGAGAATGCTAAACAAGGATGTTCAAAAATTAATAGAAAAATTCTCTATGTATCTTGGACAATGGGAAGATTGGAGACGGTATGTTTCATGTTTAAAATGGGGCTGTGCAACTAAAACTAATCATCACATTCACCTTGAAAGACCAATCAAAACAGCAGGCAAAACTTGGAAATTTACAAAATTTTAATACTTAAAAGCCAATTGTTTTCTTCAAAAATCTATATAAAGTCTGGTGAGTAAAATCAAACTTATTTTAATGAATTTATACAAGTTATGATCTGGACCTGGAGGAAGAGTTATTCAGCACTTATAACCCTGACCTTTGAAACTCTTAAGCTTTTGCAGACAATACAAAAATGGACAGATAAAAATGTAGAAAGGTATAACATAACTAAGAGATTTTTATAAGAATGCCTTACCTCGTCATAAAGAGGAAAGAGAACAACAGTTAGGATATAAAACACTATTTTATGACTTCTAATAAAATCGTTTTCATATACTAGGCAGGTAATGAAATTTTCAAATTGCCTGTTAACAAACTTTGAGAAATTAATAGGCAGAAATTACATTTGAAGATTTTGCAGTGTGGTCATTTAATCCCCATAAATAATAGCACATGTGTCTCATAAAGATTCAGATAATATTAGAAGGATTGTTAATAGGAGGGAACACTGGTTGAACATGAAAACGTATTTAAGTTTTTGATGAATTTAATATTTTGACTAAGAAAATAATATGTCCACCAAAATAAGGGCTATTTGATATATTTGACTGAAATGAAATGGTATGAAGCCTATTATATTTTTCTCACTGTTGGCAGCTATAATGTTAATCATTATTTGGATATTTAAAATACTTGGATACATTGAAAAATGGCATACTAAAATCTTGTCTATAATGTGCTTTAAACAAAATTGAGCTGGTACCACTTTTCCTAGGATTAGGAATTTCCAATGTGAATTTTTATTTGGTTTTTCTAAAATCATTGCATCTTCTGTAAGATGCAGATCAAGTGGAAAAACTCACAAGTACATGAATTAAGACAGATTATAGATACAAGTAACTTGATGTCTCATAACTCCCATAATCATTTTCCAGGTGTAACTCAACAATTAGAATAGTATCAAATTGCCTATTCTTGGATTATGATATAGAGGTGTCAAATTTCTATTAATTCATGTAATTCATGAAGTGATTTAGGCCCTGAATACAAAAGAGGGGGGGAGGAATAGAAGCATATAAACATCTTGAAAGCATGGATAAATATGTGATGGTAAATATGCAATGTTAAATATATAATAAATATTAGATAAGTAAATCAAAGATATGACTATTGAATGGCATTGATTGTAAGATGATGAAAAACATAAATTTAACTTATAGAAATGAAGTATGAAAGTGTTTCCAATGTACACAAATGTTTATCTTTCTCTAAGCCTTTGAATGTAAAGAAGTTTATTGTAGCAACTTAAAGTTGAGAAGTTTTCTATGGTATGTGCTTCATGAGCTATAATGGTATATGAAAACTTGTACTATAATAGTTTTAAGGAGACACAAGAAGGAGGGGGGGGGGACTTGATGTATTTTGTTCTATTGTTTTTGCTACACCAGAATAATGGAGATACCCTTCTGCCATTTGCTTTTCAAGAAATAACTCTTTGAAATGTAGTTTCAAGTTTGGATTTCACTTTGCACTCTATCCAGTTTTATGACTGTTGAAATGTCAACACTATAATTTAAATGTATGAATCACAAACATTGGAGTGGGGGTGCATGTTCTAGATATATTTTTATATGCTTTGTGGTAATATAATTTGTGTCCTAACTAGAATGTAAGTTGAACAGAATGGTTTGGAGCCAGTCCTAAATATATTTTGAGAAGACCGTCTGAAATCATTGAATCCATTTTTTTTGAGAGAGAGAAACATTTATTTGCATAAATATTGTTGACAATACTGGGACAAACAGAATTATTTCTTTATTTACTTATTTGATAAATTTATGTAACTGTTTATTTACTAATGGGCAGCAAACAAAAAATAGAATACAATGCACTATAACTTAAAAGAAACAAGTCAAAGTCACTATAGAAAAGACTTCAGCAACATTTCTCACATGCACCTACTATTAACATCCCAACGTCAGCGACTGAAAAATTCAAGCCTTCAAATACTTACAGAAGACCATAGGATTGGAGCCATGAAACTCTCAAGAGGAGCCTGTTGCATGACAGAGAAGGCATCCTTCCTAAGTCTCACTAGATGCTTCACTGATAGGACTTGGAGCATGCCTCTTGTGTTGGATCTAATGGAATGGGCAGAAGTCATCTTTATTTGCTTCTCTATTTGTAGTCTTTTTCCCAAGCTAGGAATGGAAGTCATGCCACCTAGTCTTTTCATACTATTACTGGGCTACTGCTGCAAGTCTTTCAACTCTATCCACATTCCACACCGACATCAAACAGCACAAGTTCAATTGGAGCAACACAAAAATCATCTGCTATGCTACCACCTGCTATGCTCATGAATTTATCAAAGCCTGGCACTCCATAAGCAATTCCATCAACAAACACATTGTCTTATAAGCAGCCTACGACCCCCCTGAGAATCCAAATCAACTGCACAGCCAACCAGATACAGCACTGACTCTCAACCAACCCACATAACCCCTCTACCAGAAGTTCACCTCCCAATGACCCTGACCTGATATAATCGCAAGACCCATCACAAGACTCATTGATGACTCACAGCTGACCCATCACAAGACCCTCACTTGACACATCCACATCTGAAGCCCCTTTAAACAGAAGAACATTGACATTCCCTAAACACCACTGAAGATGTTACCTAGGGTGGTAATGAAATGTTCTGAAACCAACCCACAAGCTTGGAGAATCACCCTCATCCTACACCTGACCTACAGATATTTTTCACTATTGCAAAGTCATACAACTGTTTGGAAAAAGCACTGGTCTAAGCAAATCATGAGCCAAGGTGGCGCAGTGGTTAAATGCAGCACTGCAGGCTACTGCTAGATCAGCAGGTCAGCGGTTCAAATCTCACCGGCTCAGGGTTGACTCAGCCTTCCATCCTTCCGAGGTGGGTAAAATGAGGACCCAGATTGTTGGGGGCAATATGCTGACTCTCTGTAAACCGCTTAGAGAGGCCTGAAAGGCCTATGAAGCGGTATATAAGTCTACTGCTATTGCTATATATTGCTACAAATATGAATTTCTGCAATTTGGTGCAACGACTGCAATTTTCACTTGCATTTCAAGTGAGAACAAAGTGAGCAAGGTAAAATAACCCGGGCAGAAAATATATTTCCAGCCTGTAGGGCCTATTCTCATTAATATGCATTTCTCTAGTCTTGAGTCCAAGGAAAAATATCCTGACATATTTTGCATTCTCCAGATGACTCAGCTCTAATGTGATTCAGTAACAAGGCCATGTCCTTGAGGTTTTATTAATTGGTAAATTCCCCAGGCTTGGTATCC